CGCTTTATTTGCGCAAGTTCGAACATGTGGGTCCGAAAACTTTTGGTTCCAGCGGCATCAAGGTGAAGATGTGAGAGCCCGACAGTGAATGAGTCGTTTTGTACACGGAAACAGTGAAACAAATGTATTCATCATTTTGGGAAACCAACCCATACTTTGAGTTCTGTTGTTTGAAAGTGTTTGAACCACCTTGTTTACCAAGTACTTTTCAGTGGAATTGGCCCGAGCGAAAAGACACCATTCCAGCCACCCAGCAGGCCCCCCATAGATGCTCGAAGTCACATAGATAAGTTCATGGCCTTGTGGTTGTCTGGGACCTGCTCAAGTCGATCACTACCTTGTGCGTGGAAGGCGCTCATGTTCGCTCATGTTCGTTGGCTGTATGAAAGGGTAAACTTGAATATCCAAAACGTGCTTGCCTTTGTTGGTGAAGTCTTTTGTCTCAAAGGTTAATTGAAAAGAACAAATATTATGGCACTGGCTTGGTTTGGTCTCCTTCTAGAACAACCGCTCTCACACAATGCAGTTGCTCTGTAATGAAAGGGCTTTGAGTTTGGATTCTTTGTCAAACCTAGTAGCTCACTGTCAGGTGACACACTTTTCTTTGCGAGCAAGAGCCGCGCCAAAGGCAGTTTTGTTGACAGGTTTGGGTGGCGGAGCTTTGGCGAAGAGGTTCCCTGTAGAATTGTTTTCAATGTGGACCAGCTTAGATCGTTCTGACAAAATGTGTCGTTTCGTTTTGGCCCTGTTCCACACCAAGAGTGCAATGGTATGCCTGACCGTATGCGAGGTGTTTTGTACTCCGACATTGCGTCGAAAGATGACGTTTTGCTTCGGCGGTGGCTCAGCATGCATTTGAGGGGGACGTGCAAGATGGCGCTTGAGAGGATTGCTGCCAACATTTTTCCTGGGTTGAAGGCAGACACAAATTGATTTCTAAGTTTGACCCTTCTCCGAACTTGAACTCCATGTGACTCCTTCCAGTCGGAACTCGTTTGGGACAGCAGGGTTTGTCCCGAGACGGACTCGGTTTCGCGAAACCTCCGATGTACCAAGAAAGATTTTCGCCCCTCGCTTCTGTCTCCCGTGAGAAGGTTTCAAATGGCCAGGGCTCGGCTTGGTTTTCTTTGGCTCGGCGCAAAGCGTAAGGCTTCTAACCTAACCAGATGATACAGATCAATGGTAGAGGAAGGAGATGAGTTCGTTAACCACATTCATTCCCCTTTCCCCTTTATATATTCACATTGTTGGACACCCAAATGTTCAGCGGGTTTGTTTTTCTGATCTCTTTAGCTGAGGCTTCTCTGCCAGCGCTCTTTGGAGCAGCACGGTCTCCCGTTGCTACAGCAGAGGCCCCAGCTGCTTTAGGGATGCATGACACGTGGGGAAAGCATTCCAGGGGGGGCGGTGGTATAGGCCGTGGTGGCAGATAAAGTTGTTTTCGTCCTCATCGTCATGAAACTGTGTGAAACACTGACCCAGTAGTTTGATGCGACGTGAATAGCTTGGGAGCATCATCTGGACTTTGGACATCCACACAAAGGGTAGCTGTCTTCAAACAAAATGCCTTTGCTTGCAAAGTGCGCATGTTGTGCAGGTTGACGTGCATTCAAGAGCTTTGTTCCTTTCAAGGCATACCAAAACACTTGTTGGAAGAATAGGACTGGGTTGGGCTAGAAGCCACTAGATTCGGCTAGATTGGCTGTCAATCAGTACCAAGGCCGGGGCTCGAAGGCATGTCCTGGGGGCGAGGATGGGTGTCGACGACTCCCAAAGCATGCAACATTGAGGCAGTGTCTTGATTTTCTATGTGGGCTAGCTCAAACTTAAAACAAAATTCCCACACCACTCCTCAACCCCATCTGATTCCAATTGCGGCATGGTTGCAGACAGTTCGCAAAGTCACATTTTGTTGAATTGGGCAATATAGAGTGGATCCTCACAAGTTTTGCAAATCCTTCAAAACGATTCTCTGTGACAGTATAATCTCACCTCTCTCTAAAACAACCCAGTGACAGCGAGAGTTGGTCGCCATGCTCATCTAGAGAATTGACTTGTGGGACCATGTCAATGTCTCGCATATCTACTTGTGCCTTAGTTACCTTGCCTTAGTCGAGAGGATATGCATCAACGCTTTTCAGGAAGAGAAACACACCACAAGGCGCTTGGAGAGTTTCCCAGTGAGTGCTTTTGAGACCTGCCAGGTCAAAAAGATATGGATTTGCAGGTTTGCAGGTCTTGATGATATCGGTGTGGGAGTATTGATGGTCACGCAGCAGAAGGATGGCATGTGACGATGTGACATGTAGGCTTGGCGACAGGACCACTTTTTAGCAAACCTCTTTACCTTTCTTTAGCAACATGGAAGAGCGCAGGGCACCGGCTTGGAGACAAATCTTGAAACATCAGTCAACATTTGTTCCGCTGTGCTTGTTGTTTGAGAGTACTGAGAATTGAAACCAGCCACCAGCTGTCCTGCAGTTGGGACAATTCAAGATCTCAGAAGGACACCTGCACGCTGGGAGGCCTCCGCTGGAAGAGCTCTTCGAGGCGCGACTTGGGCGACTTCGGCCGGCCCTGAACTTTTGAGGTGGAACGGGAAAATCCATCGGGCCATGATGGGCTGCCATTTTGGACCACCGAGCCACGCTTTTCATTCAGACACATCTTGCACCGATCCAAACGCTGCTCTTCCCACCGGCTCAAGAGATCGGCGGCTTGTGGGGGCACCGGCTGGTCACTTGGATCTGTGTGGGAGGAAGATAGAGGAAGGGGGAGTTGTTCCAAGGTTTGCCTGGAACCCTGTCCAGCGTGAGGGCAGGCGTTGCAACACTTCAAGGTGTTGCTTTGAAAAGCTATGGCTCAGTCTTTGTGGTCAGGACTTCAGAAGTGGTCCCCGTACATGGAACCGATCCAATCATAGAAAATGCCGTTGTAGTTTGCATGTTCTTGTACCGTGTTTACTCTGGTATTGTTGGCCAAACCACGTGTGTCAAAGCGTCCCGGGCGCCGGATCCAAGGGGCCTGACGCTGCCCTTTGATTGAGATACGTGGATGGCTGGTTGTGAAACATCAAGATCCACGATGAATCTTGCCGCAAGGCATCATCTTTGGTGATTGCCTAACCCAAGCTTGAAGCTTACCCCTTTGGTTTTCATCGTTTTCTTCCGCAACCATGGGGGACTCGGTGCGCCAAGCCGACGGCGATGGCCTGAGGCCATGGACGGCTCGCAGGGACCCTCGGCGGGGACTCGTCCACGGCACGAAGAGACACGATGAGACATGATGCCGCCTTCAAAAGAACAACACAGCCCACAGGCCTATAGTCGAGAAGAGAAGACTTTTGCAGACCTAGTGATTGAGTGGCAGTTTGCCTGGTGGGCGTGGATTGGAGACGAGTTCCGTTGGTATGATGACTCAGGTGGGCTCCTGCCCTCAGAATGCATGGAGGACGGGCTGAAATGGGTGTTGTAGTTGTTTTATTGTTCTATTTTTTTAGTGTCTCAACTACCACAAAAACTCTGAGCTGACGCAGTGTAAATGGACTTATGTATAATCAAGCTGAGATGTTCACTATGCAGATCGGGTCAAAGGGTTGCTTTATTTGGCTCAGAGGCATGTATGGCATCCAGGGATACAATGGAATAGGCGACAAGCCCCGCGGGCCGTATAGTTCCTGTCAACCTTGTTCAGGGCCTTGCAGCCCGGTGGTCGAAAAGAGGCCAGGCAGACAGAATCGAATCACGTGAGCAAACAATTTGGAGCCTGACCTTCAGTGCAATTAGCAGCTTCTTTGGGAAGGGTCCTCATGATGGCTTATGGCAAACTTGTTCCTTTGAGCCAAATTTGGCCTGGTATTGTAGTTGGTACCCGGCTCGTAGAAGGCCATATGCCATATGCTTTCGAGCATTGCTGTGTCTATTGTTTTTGTGCATTTTGAGGGGGATGTTGGCGGCGCCCTGTTTCGAGAGGTCTTCGTTTCGGACCGGTTTGGGGAGTCTTTCGGAGGGCCGGGTTCGGGAAATAACCTTCGGGGTCGATAAGCGTCAAAACCTTCGGGACTGGGTCATCCAGGGTCGGAAGCAGCATTCTTTTTTCGGTTCGTTCGTTGCTCTCAAGCAGAGTTTGCAGGCATGATCGGTTGAACCGGAGTTTGCAGGGAGTAACCTTTGTTCCATGTCCGGTTTAATGAAAGCATACAGTCACACAGCCATAAAAATAGTGTTTGAGGCGTTGACTTGCTCTCATTCTGCCATGCTCGATTGCCATGAGAGAAGGAATAGTCGCTAGCATCAATCCGCTCCAACAGGCCACTCCCAGTAATCTCACGCCGGTGGATAGGCTCTTTTTGTGTTTGGACCGAGTGCTCGAGTGCATTCGGGAAGTAACACTTTGATCAGTGCAGAAACTTAAAGCCGAACATGCATCCGGCTGTGGGAGCCTAGGATGCGAAAACGTGGCTGGACTGGCTGTCAAACTTCATTTGAAGAGCCTTTGGTGTTGACAAGTGCCAGATGGGTTTTAGATCCTCGTTCAATGCTTGAAAGTCAAGTACACCACGTATGATCGACAGAACACAGCTGAGCCAAGTCAGCAACAGGAGGGCTTGTAAGCTTGGAGTAGGGGAGTGAGAACTAATGCATGAACAGATGGAAGCAGCGAGGAGCACGACTCTCTTGCCGCAGCAAGTCCAAGACTTCAAGAAACAAGTTCCAAGGCGCAGAGCCAGATTGAAAATCTGGGAGCTCACTGCGCACTGCTAGCAAGCACAAGTCGCATGCTTACAAGCTCTTTTCCTTGAGCTTCCCAAATTCGCAGCTGCGCCCAAAAGGCGCACCATCGATTGAACCGCTTGGAATGAGGCTATTGTCTTTCCCAACACTCACAATGGCAGAGCTTGTCATGCTCTCAAGGCGTCTGACAGCGCGAGGAGGCCACGCTTCATTCTCACCTTGCGGTTCATTGCAAACTTGTTCGTTGTTCAAAGTGCCCCAAAAATGACCTGCAGAAAAACACATTCAGAATTTGCACGAACAGCAGGAACAGGAAACTGTTCCACATTTATATATATCTTGCATCCAAAACAAAGTGTCTGTCGTCGCAGCACTGAAAGGTGGGTTCCCTACAGCCACCATACCATCTGCTGTGGTGCCAAGCGCATCGCGCCCATTCCCAGGATGCCATGGTCAGGTTCGCGGCCGCAAGAACGGCAGTTCGTTCAACCACCATGACCAGTTGGACCCAGTTCCCACCTAAGAGTTTCCCCACAAAACTCGGGAAAGGCTGCAAAGCCATCCCATGTCCGGGATTAAAAGTAAATTGCTGGGCCAATACAGATGGCAGAAAAGCCGAGGTGTTATGTCGCCCGCCGAGTACGCAAGCGCTTTGTACATTCTCGCCTTTCAACTGCCAACACCTGAAACCTTCAGCCTCGCCCAGTTTCTGACAGAGACGGGCAAGCCGAAAACCTCACGGCGTTCTCCGCGCCGCGACCCATGTACCTACAGCAGGCAGTTTATCTGGGCGCCTCCCTGTTCAATTCCTTTGGCTCAGTAGTCGTGTTTTTGTGTGCAGCTTTTGCAATGGTTGAGAAGAGAGGCCAAATGCATGGCTTTTGGCCAACAAGGCTCCTCCGTGTTTGAACATGACTCTGTTCCTTCCATGCCTTCAAATTGTTCAGGTGTTGAGCTAATGTTGCCACTTGATCCCCCAGAATGATTGCAAGTGGCTCGGTCGGTCGGCAGTTAGTCGTTGCAGCTTGTTGTGCTATGGCTGCTGAGCCAGGTCGACCGAGCAAACCATGGCATCCAGCGGTGACAGTGGGGAGAGCCCAGCGGAACGAGAGGTTGATGCCGAGACTGAACACCCCCATGAAGAACCATTTGAATGACAGTGGGACCAACGGTCAACAGTCATTTGCTTTTCCTTTCGTTCATGTGACCTGCCAATCCACCGGATGCAAAATGCGGTGGCCTAGAAAGATCCTGAGTGATCATGGCAAACAAACTGTTTTTGATTGTTGTTCCATATTGCAGTTTATTTCCATTGGCTTTGTACCTATGGCGGCCTTACCACCAAGAACATTCAGTTGGGGCCAACAAATTTATTGTTATTGCTCGACATTTTTTTGCAGCAGCACAAGATAGTAGCCAGTTCCAAAACCAAACCTCAGATCTCACGCCTGACCCAGAGACCGAGAAGGCGCGAGTGGGATGCTTTGTGGACGCTGCCATGGTTGGTTTTAGAGAAGGAAGGGTGGGGTCTCCTTCAAGTTGGATGGAACATTTTGCCAGTTTTTTGCACAAACTTTGGGGTGCGGGGTCGCTCCAGTCAACATTCAGCATTTGTGGTAGTTTTGCGGAGGTGCCTTTTCGCGGGCTTCAGCGGGTGCTGGTTGAGGCGCGACTGTCGGGGGGAAACATGTGTTTTGCAATGGGTTGTTGGCCTGGTCCAAGCAATAATCCGCGTACTGGTTGGATCAGATCCTTTTAGGTTGCTTGAAATGGTGGCGCTAAGAGCCTATTGCACACAGCAGGGATCGGGGAGTTCTTGCCAGATCACCACGGGTACAACGCATCAGTTGGGTTTAGTGAAACCAGTGGGTTGTTGTGACAAGTTTGAAACCCGCAGCCTGAAGTGACGTTCGGATGCGGAAACAGAGTAGCCAGAGTGAAACCACAAGCGACGAAACCATGAACAAAGCTGTTGGATGACCATGTGAGCTCAAGTGACTTGGTCATTCAGAATTGTCAAAAGCCTTGCAGGTGCTGTTTGCACCGAGAGTTGTGGCCCTCTTTTTGCCCCGTGGGTAGCTAGGTTTTGCGCTTTAGACCCGGACAGGATCGAAAAGAAAGTATCTAGATTCAGAATCCAAGTGCGGAAAGGACAAGGTTAAGACAATCCAATCATATGTACATTTGCCAACCGACCTCCACCTACAGCCTGGTCAAACTGAAGGAGAATAAAGACAGAAGGCAAGTATGTGTCGTTGATTAGCCGTCATACCCGCATGTGCTGTAGCCACTTCATTGGACCCTGGAGCGCAGCGGTGGTCGATGGTTCCTTTGCCCAAAGAACGGAAAAATCGTTCCGCGATTCCACTCGTTTCAATCTGGTTTGTCACTTGCGCGCAAAAAAACACCTCTTTCAAACCACAACCACGCCAATGCCAAGTCCCTCCACATACGCTGCTCGAGAAGCAGCCAGCGAGCCCCAGCTATTGCCAGAAGATGTACACCGCGGGCCATTGAAAGGTTACTGGTTTATTTTAGAGGGTCGTATGTCTTAGCTACCCTTCCTTCCCCTCCGACCTACGAAGGTCTTTTCGGTTGAGTCATGCTATTGAATTCAGGGCAGTATGGAGGGTTCAGGGCTTTGCATGTGGCCTGCACTGGTCCCCTTACTGAACCGTTGCAGGTGCGGCAGGTGCTGAAAGAGGCCGATTGAATACGCATGGGCAGATTCGGCAGATTTGGATTGACGTCTCTGTAAGGTGAAGAGAACTGAGCATCGAAAAGGTTTGGAGAAGAAGCTACTAGTAGCAAGGGCAT